TGGGGGTCAGCTGAGGTCCATATGTGCATCTTATCAAACTGTCATCTTGTACTCATAATTCTAACCAAGTTTGAACTATTGCCAACAGAAAATAAACACATTCAATTATTTAATTTTCCTATATAAACTATAGTAAATTTTACCCTCTCCCCTGGGGGAAATGTGAAACCCCGGGGTCATGAAATTTACAAGTTTGGCTAAGCCTCTGAATGCATTTCCATTGATAAAGAGGATTTGTGAAGTTTCAATCAATTTTATCCATTTTGGTCCCTCCCTCAGACCTCCGCGGGTCATATGATTTACAATTTTGGTGCGCCTTTAGCCATTGAAGTGTTTTGTAAAATTTCATTGAAATCGATGCAGGAGTTTTCCAGATGATGTCAAAATGTTGAATGTTTACGACGTACAACGCATGACGCTGGACCAAATGGGAATGCAGAGAGTCACCACGAGTCTTTGTCTCATTTGACCTGAAGTTCGTGTGTTTACCGGGCGGTGATACTGACGTTGTAGTGTACGCGTGGAGATTTGACGTTACACTAGTGTTGGGTGAGAAAGGGTTGTAAGAGTGATGTTGATGTTTTAGGGTTTTTTATGATGTTGGGGTACTGTTAGTATATTTTGAAGATTGTATGAGGAACAGTCGAACCAATTACGAACCATCACCACACCGCCATATGTTAACCCAATACGACACCGTCCCTCTAACTTACCTCCTCAGACTATAAGGAAAACAAAACCGACGTATTTCTATAAGGATTCGGTTTGCTTGTTCTACTAAAGACTAAACCTAGGGTTGGAGCCAGTTTTTGTTTTCATACAACATTCACTTAAAACCCGACAGATCTGATGTATAAGGATGAAAAATCAACGCGTCAGTTGTAATAATATCTAACCTTACAGAAGACGATCCAGACTTGACTGAGTTTACGATAACGGATTCTGAACGTCCAGACATCTATGGAATGGATTATTTTATGGTAAATGCTTGGGGTTCTAAAAATATAAAAGTTCTGTTTGTTTGTGCCTAAGAATTGTAATGTTATCCACTAACATTCTGATATACCGGTTGATGAATATCTACGTCAACCTCAACAGGGGGCAATAACTGCCCGCTTCGATATCAAACAGTCGAATTTCATCTGACATTTTTCAGAGTCGAGGGATAGCATTTTTTCTAAAGTTAGACTCGGAACACTCTATTTAAAAGTGCAAATCGACAGTAAATAAACAATATCGAAACAGTGCCTCTGTTTTCTTACCCGTCTCCAGTATTTATCAACAGACACTGAAATTTTTTGTCGTTTTCAATAAAGATTTTGCAGGACACAAGAAACTCAAATGTACTGCATTTCACTACAAAAACATCTTTTTGGCCATTGTTATCAGAATTTATATAATACACATGACTTAGCATGTAAAAATAAAACCTCTGAAAAAACACGAAATTTTCAAACCACCTTTTTTCAAAGACGTTAAAGGGACCAGTTCCGCAACCGTTATGTTAAATTGTCACAAACGACGTTGTTATATCTTAACTTTCATTCTATACCACAGTTGTCGTTACTGATTTCCTTATATATACAGGAAGCAAAGTATTATCAAATGAAAACAAAATAAATAGACACATGCATTTTATTTTTCCCGTTTGAAGTTTGAATGTACATCATAAATTGACAATTTTAACGTACTTGTATTTAAATGGAGAATGTGTTATAATGATGATACACGCGTCTACGTGTATGTTTGACTTCGAGTTCGCGGTTCTTTTGGTTTTGAAAGCTGTGTTTTGGTAAGTTATTTGAGCTAAATCATTTGTCTAGGTGCGCGGTCGATCACCATTATCCTGTCATGTCCTTTACTATCTACCGGCGTCACGATAGACTTAACATGCCCGACAACAAATATCGACAATTTTCAATCACTGTTACAAAGCAGGAAAATAGTGGCGATAAGGCGTGCGGAGCACATGTTGACGAGAGCTGATTTGGCGGGAATCGATCAGTCAAGGCAACAATGGCGGACGTTATCTGCGTGTGTTCGATTGGTTGGTTGCAGACCGTCGACAGGTGCCCATACGGACTTGATACCTCACGGTTTTTCTATGACAAGGATTTATGAGTTGTGAGAGTTTGATCACCTTGGCAATCACACGTGCGCCTTCATGCATGGCACGTACATCCTGTTTGACAGGGGAAAGGACGTATCGATGAATTTATTGGATTTTAATTCCCGCGAGGTTACTTAACATCACGCGGCATGGTGGTAAAGGTCTGTAGTTTGACATTATGAACATTTGTATCTATTACCAAGGTCGTGATATTTGACGAGGCATAGTGAAACTCTGCAAAAATCAAAGTTTAGTAAAGGAGCTAGATTACACTGCAACTCCGTGAGAGATATCCTATCAGATGTGATGTTAATTGTGCAACGACGAGAACGTGCCGCGAATGATATCGCATTCTTGCAACATTTGAAGTTCTGCTCGACCGGGATGTTACTAGTAATCTGAAAATTTCGCTTCCTACGACTTCTGCCGTTGGTTATTTAATTGATACGTGCAGCATACATGCTGAGAAGAATGTCCTTGACAACGTTTGTCCTTGGTAAAAAGACGAGAACCGTGCATCATGTCTTCTATGAAGATTTATCATTGGTCATCAGACGCGGGCCATGTCACGTGTCGTCTTGTGTTTTTGAGAATTCCCACGTACTTAAGAAAGCTTGCCCTCCATCACCAGGCATGAAACATGTACCACTATCTCTTGACGACTTTCAGAACGTTTGCCCCGGCTTTAGACCCGAGCTGTTTAGCATGTCCTCTGACTAGAGAACGCTAGTCCTTAGTCTTTAGACTCGAGCCATTTAACATCAATGGCTTCTGACGTCCTTTAAAACGCCTGGCCATGGTCTTTAGACTCGAGCCATTTAACATCAATGCCTATTGACGTCCTTTAGAACGCTTGCTCTTGGTCTTTTGACCTGAGCCATTTAACATGCCTACTGACGTCCTTGGAAATGTTTGTCCTCAGTCATATGAAGCGTGTAATATGTTGTCTTGAACGTGTCCTTGAGAAAGATTGGAAAAGGTCATTTTTTGTCATTAGACACGAGCCGTTCAGTATGTCTTCGTACGACCTTGAGAACGCTAGTCCTTAGTCTTTAGACTCAAACCTTTTAACATAAATGCCTAATGACGTCCTTTAGAACGCTTGCCCAGGGTCTTTAGTCTCGATCCTTTCAGCATGCCTACTGACGTCCTTGGAAATGTTTGTCCTAAGTCATATGAAGTGTGTAACTCCATAAACTTTGAAAAGGTAATTTCTTGTCACTAGACGCGAGCCGTCCAGCATGCCGTCTTGCGTCCTCGATAACTTTTAAACCATGTTGCACGTCTTCTGACGTCGTTGAGAACTTTTACACGTCGTCATTAGACCCAATTATGATATTGTCGACAGTAATGTTGGTAGTCTAGCACGACGAGTATCGCCCTGGGTAAGAAATGTCTGGACATACCTGGATGGTACTGGTTGTCATTTGGGTAATTAGATGTAATACAGAGATAACATGGAGATGTAGCACAAAACCGTCTGTATAAGTGTCAGCAACCTATTGCTGGTCAGAGAGCACTGCTATAGGGCTGCACTAAAGGCGTGGAGGGGCACCCTAATGTCAAGGCAGTAACGTTTTGTTCTGACAGATAACTTAGGGAGTTGTGTATTTCCGACAGATTCCCTTGTATCATAGCGTTTTCTTTCGCAAATTTGATAAAATGAAAAACGGACAAACCAATCAACAAACAAAAAACACAATAAAATCAGTAACATTGATATATTTTCCAAATATAATGGTTAGAACATATTCAAATCTAGCCTCTTGACATGTCATAACTTTACATACTGATAATCACATGACATATCATGTGATTACGTCACCATCTCCATATCTTTTAAACAGTGAAGTGACATATTGTATGTTGTATCTCATACACACGTTGTTTCTCTGCATTACAGACATCATTATTACTTTTAATTTAGGAAATTTTTAGACCTGATTTTGAGATGTGAGGATCTATCAACGAGATTTTACAAAAATAAATAAATATGTATCCTTTAGAGCGACATCTGGTAAAGCAGGCATATATAATTATACACGTTAAAAACGACTTCTTTTTATGTCTGATTTGCAACATCTCTTATCACTTTAACTTTATACAAGAATGGATGGCAATTATCTGAAGTTGTGTAACTATATAAGTATCTGCCGACAAAGAGCTGGTGATAATGGTGTAATAATGCATGGATAATGTTCTGACTTCCGGTTTATCCTAAGTGTCCCAGAAATAACAATTTTCAGGAGATAGTTTATGGACCCGGCTTTGTCAGGTTTACAAAAAGTACTTAGAAAGCTTACCAATCTATCGACGTAATCTTAACGATGTTGAACGGTTGTTGAACTAAAATCCTCAACCTCGATTGTATGTACATGTAAGCAAAGCAGTCGGATTTATCTTCATAGTATAACATAGACAACTTACAGTTTGAAGATCTTCATCAAGAATTTACATGAAAAACATATTTTCAACGCTTTTAACTATTGAAGGTTCCGTCTATCTGTTTATAGAACGAATCTTTATGGTATAACATACACAATTTACAATTTGAAGATCTTCATCTAGAACATTACACGGAAAAACATTTTCAACGCTATATAACTATTAAAGGTTCTTTCAAACTGTTTATAGAACAACATTGTTAAAATGTGTACCTTTAATTTATCAATGTAATCAGTAATATCAACATGGACGAGAAGGAGGTTTTCAAAATAGTCAGTCTTTTGACATTATATGTATATATATATATATATGAAAACACATACAATTCATATAATTTTTGCTATAAAATCTGGATTCATTTACAACATTTGTTTTATATATATCTTACTATCTACCTCAATCTCAATGGAGACATCGCTTGACTCTGATTCTAACGAAGGACTATTGAAGAGCGCCAGGAGTGATGTGTTCTCCTAAGTGACGTATCACACTGATATCCATATGACGTCGAGCACAAATATGATGATATAGAACGTTGCGGGATTCCAGACACAGATATGTAAATGACTATGTATAAATGACTTAGATGGTTTGTCAGTGCCTGTCTAACACCCCGTCATGCCCTACATGATAAATATTTACATTTTATTTTGTTTGGATTTTAAATAAATATTGTCGAATAGGTTGGAATGTTGCTTTCTCCTGAATTTGGCTTGACAAAAACAGCCATGTACAATAGAGAAGTAATCACTTTATTTGATGCCATGCCACCATGTTGTAGAGAACTGAAAAAAGAAAATAAAAATTTCAAAGCTTAACTAAGTAATTATTATCGTCTACCAAAGAACGCATGAAACATCTCACAAATTATCAGAACTTTGAAAATAAATGTGATTATGTATGTCATTGTAATATGGACAAGGTTATAACGTAAGGGAAGACTTTTTTTATCTATTTATTTTTGTCGTGCTATTTGAAACATAAAAATATGGCTAAGCCTAAGGGAAAATAATGTGTTATCCGAGACCTTCTATCAATATGCATGCCACGTACCTACCATATTCAACTACAGGGTGACAGTACATGACGCAGGACCCCAGGATAGCCGATGATGGTGTGACGTCACTTGAGCAACCTATCCTTTCTACTCTGCAGATCGCAAACCGGTACTTGTAATATCTAAATTACAAAACATGAAAGACCTTTCACTTCACTCTCGAACACGTCGATGACTGTTTGTGCGGGACACACTCATCTTCGGTTGGAACATGTCACTGAATTTTAACAACACAGCTGACAGCGGGAATTTGCCTTGACTGAGGTCTTACCTTTTCCCTGGCATATTTGCCAACTTCCGGTGTCACGTTCGGACATTGATCAATCCCAAAACACACTCCAATCTCGCTGACCATTAAATATAGCACTTTTGGTGACAAATTGTCAGAGTTAGTTTACTTTAAAGTCACGTAGTTTTGTGTATGCGATGTGTCAGTCAGTAGCAGTTGTCCTTGTATTAGCAATAAATAACAAATAACTATACACAAAACTAATTTACTTGTGTCTTTCTAAGCCATAATAAATTACTTTGAAAGCCCGGTAGCATAAATCCGTGATATGAAGGTTAAATTCTCCGTCCACAATAAAATTGAAGTTTTAACCAAATTATATTCCAGCTTATCACAACACAGATAAACAGATAAAGCGGATATGATGTAGTCCGACTTCCGCCATTGTACCGATCACTTTCGCGGATGGATATCACACGTCGATTTGAACCTTCCGGTGGAGCAAATGTTGTCCTGTGATATGTTTCCGAATAATCCTGTAACAAAAAAACAGTATAATATAAAAACATTATTGATGACGTTCTCTGCAAGATAAAAATAATACAGTTGACTTAACTCGATCTGTAACACTGGAACTCGATCTGTAACACTGTAACTCGATATGTTACGCTTAACTCGATCTGTAACACTGGAACTCGATCTGTAACACTGAAACTCGATATATAATACTGAAACTCGAACTGTAACACTGTAAATGTAACACTGTAACTCGATCTGTAAACACTGTAACTCGACCTGTTACACTGAAACTCGACCTGTTACGCTTAACTCGATCTGTAACACTGAAACTCGATATATAATACTGAAACTCGAACTGTAACACTGTAACTGTAACACTGTAACTCGATCTGTAAACACTGTAACTCGACCTGTTACACTGAAACTCGACCTGTTACGCTTAACTCGATCTGTAACACTGAAACTCGATATATAATACTGAAACTCGAACTGTAACACTGTAATTCGACCTGTAACACTGTAACTCGATCTGTAAACACTGTAACTCAACCTGTAACATTGTAACTCGACCTGTTACACTGAAACTCGACCTGTTACGCTTAACTCGATCTGTAACACTGAAACTCGATATATAATACTGAAACTCGACATGTAACACTGTAACTCGACATTTAACACTGTAACTCAACATGTAACACTGAAACTCGAACTGTAACACTGTAACTCGACCTGTTACACTGAAACTCGACCTGTTACACTTAACTCGATCTGTAACACTGAAACTCGATATATGATACTGAAACACGAACTGTAACACTGTAACTCGACCTGTAACAGTGAAACTCGATCTGTAACACTGTAACCGTCCTGTAACACTGTAATTCGACCTGTTACACTGAACCTCGATCTGTAACACTGTAACCGTCCTGTAACACTGCCACACTGAAACACTCACTTATTTCGGCTATTCTCATACATGACATTTGCTTATGGAAGTAAAGTAATCATTTTCATTCTGTTATTCTATAAAGCAAAATTCCAATTACAAAACCCTTTATTCAATAAAAATTGTAATATATTGGGACTGTTATGACATTTTTACACTAAATATATTTGAATGACCTCTGAACAGGTTTGCTTGTTTGTTAGATAGCTAGGCACACAATCAGTAGACTCTTTCAAAGGGCTGTGTTTTATAAACAGCAAAAAACACGTAAGATAAACGACGGTCTAAATATAACTCTCCTTTCTCTGTTTTCTATTGATGTATACGAACACGTCCAACGCTTCGGTAACATTATTATCCATTTTTTAAATTAAATTTTGACGGTTAATTTAAGGAGGGTGTGACGGATGGAAAAGGATGTAGACTTGAGTCAGATACATATCTCGGTCACGTGTCGGGTTCGACAATGCACTTCGGTTATGCCTCGTTGATAAAACCTAATAGGGGCTACACGTTTGTGGGCACCGCCGGTCCTGTTTCTGCCGTTCATATCACATCTAAATTGTTTGTAATCTTACGTAACCATTAAGCTTCTCTCCCTTCCCCTGATTTTTTCCCCTGTAGGATTTCAATGATCGCCTGAGTTACTTCGTTAAAATTCCATTGCTCTATTCCTACAGCTCTGCGCAGCGAAAACAGCAGACTCGGCTTCGGAGGATCATACTAACACTGTCGGGGCCAGGTCAGATTACTACAAATACACTACCACCCCTGCAATATTAGTTTTAAAACAATTACAAATCGGCATTCCACCCTACTACACGTTCGCGTCACTGGTGTTCGCGGTAGGTGGGGAATCCATGTAAGAAACCAAGATAGTTTATGCGCCATATGCTTTCTTCAGTGCAACACGACGTGATGAAAAGTATGCGGGTTCTTTTGTAATACAATATTGGGATCCAGAGACCAAGTATACCAACAACTTTTTTCTTATTCTTGATACGTATAAATCAATAAATAGCTTGTTGAGTTCATTTTAGATGTGCTTTAAGAACCATCGATCAGTGTCTTTTAAGGGAACAGCCGTTTGATTCAAGGTCGAGTTTGAATGTTGGTTGTTGGCTTTGAAGACGCTTCAGAACGTCTACTGGTTACAATACGAGTTTTCTATTATTTTGTTATCAGACCAACTCAGAATATTCCTTTTCACACAAAGAAAAAAAATAAAAATAATTCATAAAATATAAAATTGCTCGTTTTTAAATCGAAAAAATATTGCATACCCGTATTATGGAATCTTTGAAGACAATTACTAAACTAAATTATAATTGTGATCATTTTATAAATGTAGTTATAATCACTGTTAAAACCTGAGAACGCAACTATTCCCGGACTTTATAATGACAGACCGTAGTCATTCTCCTGTAAAACATCCTGATATTAATACATCGCTGCCACTGCCTGGAAGTAGGCGTTGTGATATTTATGCCCACTGATCTTGTTATTCGATCTGCCAACAAATTAATTTTAAAGTGAAGCATTTAATATCGTGACAACAATCCTGTTTTAGTGGTATACTTTACAGTACAGAACCGCTCCTGGTGGTTTATCACCGCCCAGACTTTCAGATACATCACATTTCACAAAGCTGTCGTAGATTATGTTTTGCCCTGAATCTTGCGTGCTCTCAAATTGTCCTCCATGCCACAATACGTTTTCATTTAAATTCTAATCGTGGTCATCCCGGAAGAACTGGGATTGTTTTAAGTCACACACGCACAACATTATCTAGGACCCTGGGGTTTTTGAAACAAAATGATTACAAAGGGAGACGGAATATTAATGATTTTCACTTCAATTAAAACGAGATATCTCATCAACATGATTAAATTCGAAACATTTTGATATTCGCAAATGAAACCGTATCCATTTCCGGTGGGGATATTTGTGTATTTTGAAGGGATTGGTAGATTGCATACGATTGACCACCAGCTCTTTCTTCCGGGACACGCGGGTGCGTGAAAATAATCATGAATCTCGCATACGGTTTGTAGTGTATAATATATCACAAAGTTCCCGACAATCATACCTTTACGACAAACGGCGCCATTTAGTGACACCAATTAACCTCGCATCAGGTGATCAACGGTGACCTTCAGGAATCACGCGACATACGTTACGCATGGGGATCAAACTTGTAATTGCAGACACTGGTGCTGTATGAGCACTTTCACTGAATTATTCCTATTTTTACCACCACAGAAACCACTGGTGATATGTGTTAATCCATTACAATGTCCAACAGTGTCCCAAGGGGTTCAAACCTGTGACCAGAGCCTACAACACACGATAGCCTATATACGGATAGGAATAGACCAGCAACGGAGAAAAAAACTGCGTCTGTTCAAGACGTAATTTAGTTACCATAGTAACGAAAGTATCAGACAGGAACGAGACGCCATTCTCCAAGGATGACAAGCGCCTGCTGAACAGGGTTTGGAGTTAAACTCGATTAATTTGAATCTACTTCATAGTCATTTGTAAGAGGTCAAACTTCTTGAAGCATTAAGTTATTTTGTGCGACAGCGATCGAAAATTTAGTTGCTTGCAAACAATTAAACGTTTACTGGTACATGTCTACAAGTATTTTTAGCATTTTGGAAAATGTATAATGTATCATGTCGATGTTTGAGGTAACCCGGTGTACCGTTTTACATGACATAAACCAAACGTTGCAAAGAAAGCCACTTCAATTTAGATTGAAGACAGACCTTTATCAACTTCAATTTGCTACATCTGCAATGTTTATCATCATTTTTTCCCAACTGAGTTTCAAGTTATCGAACAGCGACACTTAATGCAAATATTTATGCGATTGAAAACATGTTGACTTTGCGAGTCAGAGAAATTGGACGAGCAACCTTACCTTTGTTGAAAACACGTGCTTGTCACACATGGTACTGCTCCGGACCATCGGTTTGGCCAGCACATCCATCAGACTGGCCGCCTCTTGACCACAGCTCTGACCAATGTTGCCTTTGATACAAAGTAACACCTGACTGAGATCGCTGCAATGTACAATGACGTCGTAACAACATTAAACCTATTTTCGTAGTTAGAAAAGTCAACGATAAGGCGACATGTCGAGTTCAAATTTCTGAATTGTACATTTATACACGTTAATTTGGCACTTAAAGATGATACATTTATATGTACCTTGTAATCTTTGGGAGCAACATTATTGTAGACGAGAGGAAAATACTTACTGATATATCGTCTAAAAGTTCATGGAATTGAAAATATCGATCACTCATAAAAAAGACATATAGAAATAATTGAAATACACGTAATGGGTATGTCTATTATTTAAACGGTTTGTTTTAATGAAGTGCAAAAATATGAAATACTAATTGGTTTATTATGAATCTCTGCGATATGAATGCTAGTATATCTCAATCACACTGTTTAAAAACCGTCTGGGCACAAACAAAATATAATCAGCGACTCCAAAACACACATGGGTGAAAATTGCCAGCTTTCTGTCAACTCGAATACGGCAACTGTTTGTTAAAACGTTTGTGACTTTTTGATAGAGCGATGCAGCGCGATGCTTGGCGAGTGTAAACCTTACTACGATAAAACAACAATAAATCCCGTTTTATTTTCAGATTGTCTTCGGATTGTAGCTACATCTGGATGCCTTTCGTGCCAGTGGCCGTATTTCGATGTCACCGACGTACGATGATAAACCGCACGTCTATCTGTACTGGTCTATAGGATCCGACATCAAAGAGCCAGCGCTACCATCAAACACATCAAACTACCTTCAGTTGTATGTTTCAAATCTGTTTTTGTAAAGTCAGTTTCAATTTAGACAGTTAAGAATAAAGAGGAAATGGACATGTTTTATACATGTTATATATATATTTATACGTATCTTCCACAGAGTAGAAACCAAGGACACCTCAAGCTACAGACTAGCGTTACACAAATTACATTGTACATATACCTTAATAACAAAACATAGACAACAACATCCCACTCAAAATACTAATCCTACAAAACAAAACATTTCCCCAAAACACTTATTCTATATTAAAAACAATAACCCAACCCTAAACATTAACCCAACATAAAAACATTAACTTTGCCCACAAACACTACCCCATATGTAACAGTAAACATCCTCAAAACTACTAATCCTACAAAAGAAAACGTTAAGCACATATAACAAAAAACCTACCAACAAAAGACTAACCCTACAAACACTAACCCGACCAATAAACACTAACCCTACATAACCCTACCAATAAACACTAACCCTACATATCAAATCGATAACCCTAACAACAAACACTAACCCTACATATCAAATCGATAACCCTAACAACAAACACTAACCCTACATATCAAATCGATAACCCTAACAACAAACACTAACCCTACATATCAAATCGATAACCCTAACAACAAACACTAACCCTACATATCAAATCGATAACCCTAACAACAAACACTAACCCTACATATCAAATCGATAACCCTAACAACAAACACTAACCCTACATATCAAATCGATAACCCTAACAACAAACAGTAACCCTACATATCAAATCGATAACCCTAACGACAAACAGTAACCCTACATATCAAATCGATAACCCTAACAACAAACAGTAACCCTACATATCAAATCGATAACCCTCCCAATAAACAGTAACCCTACAAATCAAATCAATGACCCTACCAACAATCACTAACCCTACATATCAAAATTCACCCTAACCACAAAACACATAAAACAAAACACCTCCTCTAAAACATTAACCTCACATGACAAAACAATAACCCGTACCACAAATTATTAAACACAATTTCTATACCAAAAACACTCCCCGAAAACAACTTTCTTGGACACAACGTTACGACAAAGGTCAATAATTCTGTGATGAAAGAGTTTCAGGCACTTAATTTTGTATACTGTATAAAGTTGTGCCATGAATACATAATTTTAACAAAGGGCACTAACTCTTGAATCATGGTGTTGCAGCCCCTGTCTTTAGTACCTTGCACATCCTACAACTATGACCAATGTGTACACTACGTTCCATTATCCTAAATTTAAAGCAAGTACAGAAATGCTCCAGATACGAAAGGACGGATGGAAAATTTTCGCGGGGCATAAAAATATCGACCCTACTGAAAAAAAACTGACCATACTTACAAAATATTGACAATATTAAGAAAATATCGACCCTTCTTACAAGACACAACCCATATTGACAAAATATCGACCCTCCTAAAAAACTACACACTGGCATTGTCCATAATATATAGATCTTATAAAACATTTCATCTGTCCATGATATGTTTCCACCAGAGAACTTTAAGGTAATACCGTCAATGATCTTTGTGATCTACACGGTTTTCTCTATTGCACATGCCACTGGCCAATGACCTCTGACCTCCCTCAGAGTCTAGATAGGCAACTCTATCTATCCCCAACGTCAGGTTTTCAACTTAAGAGGGTCTCACAGGTGTGCCGGTAAAAATTACCCCTTCAAATGTAAAACCATCACCGTGGCAAATAAATTCTGCCCGCTTGCAGTCTTACATCAAGGATGACAGGAGTCCAAAATAACCGAAACTGGATAGGTGTGGCAACGGATCAAGTCCGATACATCCAACAAAACACTAAGATCTATTTTACCTCGGATTAATAAAAACAGTTTTGTGTATCTCCACGCGCTTCTCATGTGTGCTACAGTGTACTTTGAAGTTGTTCTCATGGAAATGAATTAAGAAGTAATGAGAATGCATTAAAATAAACTTATTTTAACAAAAAATCCTTTTATGAAGATTGTATTTAAAAAAATATTTGAAGTGTATTCCATCCATTGGATGTTATTCAATTCGGTATCTTCCGAAGCGTTCAAAAGGTCAGTGTTTTGTGCACTTCTTTTTAGTATTACGTAAACAATTTGTGGTCACTATTGATTGGCTAAGCGACAGACCGACAAGTCTTTTACACAGAAAACCTCTTCCAATACAACATCGTATAATGCGTCGAAACACGTTTTGCACGCACATTGGGGTATTTTTGATTGGCTTGAATTTCCTTAGACAAACCTACAATGTGATCTCGCGAGATTGCACGGCCGATACAGCCAAAGGTTTCCGGTATCTCTATATCAAAGTAATAATTGCCCCCGATAGGTTTACATCATTGGCTAATTGTGAGTTGTTATCAGTTGAGTAGCCATCAGAGGTATAACATTTTTGTAATCTAGTCAACTCGTCAATTACAGGTCTGGTAGAGAGGTTGTAGGTGGATAACATGGAAGTTTATCGGGAGGTATAGCCGCACTTCTACGGCTTATAATATTGTTTGTTTTCTCTAGACGCCGTCCAATGTGAAGTATATTTGATTGCGATTCGCTAAGTAAAGATAATGTATCAAGGGCACATATCATCAAAAGAGGGAGTACTAGCTGTTGGTGAGACTAAGGTAAATAGATAAACAATTGGGAAGTGGGGGTGTAGTAGGAAGCAGAACCCCTATAACTGATAACAGATATAAACACTGTTTCTTATGTCGTTCCATAAGGTAGTATATATATATTATGACGTCATAACAAGGTAAGTATTATATCTGACAACGGGACGTCTTTAACATGGGCACATTATTAATACAAGATCTGACCGGAAAGCTCTCATCTTACACAAGCATATCTAATGCAATATCTGACACCATCTCATCTGACTCAATCATAATTCGCAATATCTGACACCGGAAGTCTTAGTGTCTCGTCTGTAACAAGAATGAACCAAACAATATCTGACACCGGAAGTGACTCTACTTCTCTTGATGACGTCATATAAGTTTGTGTGTGTTTCTGACACGGGAAGTGTTGATGTTGCATCTGGTTCTAGCGGGGGAAAGTATTGTATTCTATACCCGAAGAGTTTAAAACATTTGACACAAGATGTAATGGTGCCCTAGTTCTACATACCTGCATAAGTCGTCCAAAGATTTCCAATTCAACCGTTTCAGAAATCGACTAGTAGTATTCATGACGTCATGAAAGCAACGTTCAGAGTAACTTCCGTGTGACATATAGCAGCTCATATGACGAGCGTACACTGTAAGTAAAAATACGATATTTGAAGAACAAACGAAACGAAACAAAAAAGACAGAAAATACCAACATATCAACGGAATCATAATTCGAACTCAATTAAAACATTACTAGAAAAAAAGAAAAAAAATTACTCTGAGATTCCTGAAAAAAGTGTCAGAAGAATAAGACCAGGTGTTGCGGAAAAACAGGCGTAATCTGCTTATCAACACCCGTTGCGTAAATCTTGATCAATCCAAGTAGGTAATGTCATGTTCTCAAATGAGAACAAGGTATACAAAGTAAAGAAGTCAACATCATATACAAGAAACATAATCATGTCAAGTACATAAAGGTCAAGGTCATTGACAAGCACAGAAGACTAGTGAGATAAGATTCTGTAGAAAGTTGTTCCATCTATAATACAAGTAGGTAAATAATTGTTTGTATATACATTGATGAGATAATAGGAAATTGATTAACACGTAAGTGGTCGGCACCAACAGAACTACCTATAATACAATGTGTATTCCTTCGCGGGAGCTAGTATGTTCCTGTACGTGTAAGACCTCGGAGATAGAAATCTAACATCCCGTCACAGTGCATAACTTACATTCTCATTCAATCCTACAGGTTTGTTTACGCGTGCATTAGATAAATAGCCGGCAACACTCTGAGATAGACGTAGTAATACGAGGAATGAATGGAACCCATCTCCCCTTACAGCTGATAATATCTGTTTCTTTTTCCCCCTAGAACGCCAGCATCATTACGAAGCCGCATATATATATATAATACACTTAGGAATGTTTTGTAAACTACTACATAACAAATACATCAACACGTTAAAAGTTATACCGGAAGTTAGAAATGTCCTTGACCTTTTTTTGTTACAGTATGTTACCTTCGTATATGTCGTCGTTCTTGCACATGAAGGACAGTTCGTCCGTGGCGCCATTAAGGTTGATTAGAGGACCTTCGATCACGTGATGGTGGTCTTTCCCACACTCAGTCCTCAGCTGGTTAATACACGTCATAGCGGACAAGTATGCACTGCAAAACACAAACAAAACTGGTATGGACTTTTGAAGAGGTCAATACATGGTTTGAAGAAATACAGAACTTGATATTAACCTATACGTTTTATCCATAAACAGGATACCATGGTAGTTTAAAATATCAGCTTATTATTGTTCAAATAAGACATAATATCACAGAATCAATGGTAACATCCACCACTTTGTGTGGATATTTTTTATAATGACCAATGGTACTTTAGCAAAAATATCTCTGACAAGAAAGAGAAAAAATATGTTTCCAAATTGAACAGTCAGGAAGACAATTTAATCAACTGCATAATTGAAAACGTTGTTGTAAACAAACGTTATTTGATGCGAGCAGAAAACATTAAAATTGCGTTGAATAGTCAATTTAGAGTGATTGACAGCATTCCTATGTTACTAAACATGAAATCATTTGATTATGGTGTCAAAGACTCCTAAAATCAATCGTCTAATGTTGCTACAGAAACATTATCGTCATATTAGGGACTTTGAGAATATGACGAAAAAAAAATATAAGATTGTTTTTCCATTGTTTACAATAACATAATTCGATTGACAGTGTTAAATGTTTTCACAAACATAAACTGGTTCTTGTGTTGTTGGTGGTCACTACAAAATACATAAAGGGTGTTACACCAAATTCCATCGAGACAGTTTGTAGTCTCCAAAGTTTGCCTTAACATGCACAGTACGTCATTCGAATAGTGGATACACATATACTTTACGTTCTACTAGAATTATCAGATATTTGAAAATCCAGAAATGGGTTACATTATGAAGCTAATGCAGTTCCCATCGAGATCTTTCGTTCAATCATTGATTTGCTTCAATCGCCTCCTACGTTTCAAAATCAAAGTCCTTTGCATCACCAAGAAGGACGAAACAGCTGTATGACGCCGTTCAATTCATTATTTGACTTAATTGTATCTAATAATAATTTTTTATTCAAGGTGATATTTACTTGAAATACAGCCCTAACTGATTATTTGAGCAGGAACAGACCTGCTGACGTTTAACACGTCCATGCTCACTCGAGTACCGACTGTAACATGTACAGAGTAACGCTATCATAACTCATCCCGTATATAACACCGATACAGATGTTGGTTATGATCCGTGAACAAGCTAACACAGTCATGTGGAGGCTACATTTCATCATCTGTGCTATTTCGGTGAGATGGATGCATCCAAATAACGGTACCGTCAAGTTTGGTAAATGAATAATTTCTACGTGGCAGGTAATATAAGTGTTATCGATGTAAACCGTATTCACGCTAAAGTCTGGCCGAGTCTGAATATTAAACTGATTTGAACCTTTTTAAGGTTGGCCTTTTCAGTGGTATTGCCAATGGACAGTCTTAATTGGGTCTAGATTTTGTTAAGGTATATGCAAACATTCGACAATTTTGGTATTCAAAATGTTCTTTCTTTTGAAAATTACCCGGCATGCCTCAGTGGTCGTATGTGCAGTAACAGGACGTTCTAATATGCCAATGTATAGTTTACTTTAATTACTTTTAATGCCAATTTATTCCCACAACACTGTTCATCTTGAAAAACCAAAATTAGTACTGTCTATAATACCATACAGATAAGGATACTGCAGTAAATCCCACAGAATTACTGACAATGACAGGAAGAAATATGAACTGGCAACACAGCCTTATCCATGTAAGACAACCATGCTCTCTACATATACTTAAATCTGATGTTTATAGTCCCCTCTCGTGAGAAATGTGGCGTCCTCCATCACAAAGAAAATTCTTATAATATTATAGTCGCGAATACACCGATAAAAGAACATGATTATTTTGCTATTCAACAAACTTTTTGTAATCGTGTCACATGTGCGACGGTGCCATAAGGAAGCTCCACCGCTCGATAGCCGTAGCTTGATGAAAAGATTACGATATTCAAGATAAAATACATAATAAAATGTTATAGGCGTTTAAATTCACTAAGACGGATGTTCCTGCAAATTTTAAAACTTGGTCTTTGTTTTCAGATACCTCCAGGTGTGAAACTCGGACTTACCTGCAGAATGCTCTTAGCAGTTCGACGTCAACTCCCGAGAACAACGTTCGCTGACTTTTCTGCATGTTAAGAAACTGGGTATTGTAATCACCGAAACATGAGAAGGAATGCATCTTGAGTTTACTCGGACACAGTCCGTCCGTAACACAGAACACTGAAAAAATAAAACGATAACGTATGAACGGACGACTGCAAGAAAAAAGGATGACCTATAAATGGTTAAGGAAGTGATAAGTAAAACGAAAGAAAGGTAGCGTTACTTCAGACTACAACGACGAACAACAGACAAATTTTGTCTGTCCAGACGTACATGTACGGAGTAAAGCAGCAGAAAGAAGCTATTCATATCGGAAAACATTTGTCCGTTCGTCCCTTCAGACGATGATCGACCCTATTGTTAACATAAGGGCATATGAGAGCGATATATTCCTAGTCTTGTTTGACGTGACTACCAAAAATAGCACATTAGATGATTTTATAAGTAGCCAGAATGATTTCAAGCAGGTAAGATCATCCCTTAAGTAAATATACAGATAATATCAATCATGTTACAAAAATACTCCTAGACTTAGATTAAGTGTTACACATTCAATTCTATACAGGCTTGTGCTGCTTCTCATCGTTCATGATAAGGAAATTTCAATTCTGTCGGGTATTTTTTCAGTTTATTCCACTAATACCGGTAAAACATCTTTGATTACCCCCCACACAGACTGTGATATACCGCCTGTATAGGGGTAATACTACCACGAATAATTCACATCGCAAACTCCTAACGATCAATTCTTCTGAGTCGCCATCTTATCTACAAGTAAAAACGTTATCTGTCAAAGCCCAAAAATTTAATCTTGTCTTTGATGATGTTTGTGAAGATATAATCTACAGTGTTTATAGATAACAAGGGTATATATATATATTGAAAATATGGTAAATTCTCCGTGTCCAGAAAGCATATAAAAACTTTAAAAACTGGAAAACACGATGAGCTGTCAAACATAAGCGCTTTCATTTCTTCTTCAGATGAAAACCGTGTTTTCCAGTTTTTTAAGTTTATATATATATCCGGTAGTACATTGAACGTAACATGCTTTTTTCAAGTGATTAGACTGTAATTTAAGCCACGCCATTTCTATAACTAACTGGTCATCATTTATAAAGAGGTTGTACTGATAAATAACGGGTAATACTTATTGATGCAGAAAAATACTGTAAAATTACTCATTTTCGTGGAGTGAGGTGGGAATGCTGACTTCGAAGATATACAACATATGTAGATTACTAGCTTTATTGGGCCATATTCAGCCACGAAAGATGTCCATGAAATTATCTGTTACAAATCACCTAAAATATAAACCCCACATAGATTTTACAATACAAAAAATTCTGCTCCCGTATACCAATGTGACACTTTATGAATATGCTTCAAGATACTGCTCATAGTGCATTGTAACGTCACTTCCGGTTGATACTTAATCACTTTACCATAGATCGATGGTGCCAGTGATGGATGCTTGTTGTCTGTGATGTTGGCAAAATGTTGTTACAACTAGAATTGTAATGACTAAACAAGCTGTTTATTGTACACAAACATTCTACACGACTTGCAGTTTAGTGACGTATCTTTAGGAACCTATGTAATTGGAAAGTACGTCGGGAGGAACAATATTAATCAAATCCTTTTTGTCCATGTTTTTTTTTATCTCTAACGTCTTTCAACGAATCGCAAACATTTTCTTATTGATGTATTGCCTTGAATTTTACACGTGCTTCGTAACATGTCCTAACGTACGTGTAAGGCCACTGATAACGTTTACCCTTGTGGCCAGGGCTTAACAACGACATCTTGGTATGGTGATTATTAGTGATGACAGATGTAGAAATTTGCTGTCGACATTGTAAATAAATGTAGCGCAAGTGTTGCTTGTTGAGTTTGGGTAAGGGAATGCAGACGGGTTCGAGGAGACGTCTAGTTCCGAATCAGACATAGGCCAAACTGCCCGTCAGCGCCATGAGATAACACGAAGTAATTGGAACAGTAAAGTCCATTACGGAGCTTCCATCCTCAACAGCCTCGCTTGGGCAGTTACCTCGTACCAATAGGCAGACATATACATGTCTCCATGTGTCTACAACAGCTATCAACGAGTCTGCGACAAAACATACATCTATTGCTCCCAGCAATCGTTTGTCGTGAGTAAAATACTGGACGGAGCCAGAAAAATATGCAGAATTCAGAAATAATGTGCTTTCTGTAAGACCTAGTTCGGGAGACAAGTAATTTTGAGTTTTTGTATCTATATATGGAATAGAATAAAAAACTCATAGATAACTGTACAATGCATTAGGTTCTTATTAGATAAAAACCGCTGTACTTTTATCTAATTACGGGAAAGGTCGTCTCTGCACTGAAGCTATTTATACAGTTTTGTTCTATAAACACTTATGTTCTTTGTTCTATAAACACTTATGTTCTTTGTTAAATTAGCTGTGGAACAAGTATCGTATTAGGGGTAGAAATGGTGAATTAAGGCAAAATGGTCGTGTCTAGCGTGATTAGCTCGGCAAACCTTTTATATTTCTACGTATGTATGAGGCTACATCCTGAAGTAATGGAGTACAGGATTGTAACCATGTATGTGTGAGAGCTACATCCTGAAGTAATGGAGTACAGGATTGTAACCATGTATGTGTGAAAGCTACATCCTGAAGTAATGGAGCACAGGATTGTAACCATGTATGTGTGAGGGTACATCCTGAAGTAATGAAGTACAGGATTGTAACCAGCCATGTATGTGTGAGGGTACATCCTGAAGTAATGGAGCACATGATTGTAACCATGTATGTGTGAGGCTACATCCTGAAGTAATGGAATACAGGATGGTAACCAGCCATGTATGTGTGAGGCTACATCCTGAAGTAATGGAGCACAGGATTTTAACCATGTATGTGTGAGGCTACATCCTGAAGTAATGGAGTACAGGATGGTAACCAGCCATGTATGTGTGAGAGCTACATCCTGAAGTAATGGAGTACAGGATTGTAACCAGCCATGTATGTGTGAGGCTACATCCTGAAGTAATGGAGTACAGGATTTTAACCATGTATGTGTGAGGCTACATCCTGAAGTAATGGAGTACAGGATGGTAACCAGCCATGTATGTGTGAGGGTACATCCTGAAGTAATGGAGTACAGGATTGTAACCAGCCATGTATGTGTGAGGCTACATCCTGAAGTAATGGAGTACAGGATTGTAACCATGTATGTGTGAGGCTACATCCTGAAGTAATGGAGTACAGGATGGTTACCAGCCATGTATGTGTGAGGCTACATCCTGAAGTAATGGAGTACAGGATTGTAACCAGCCATGTATGTGTGAGGCTACATCCTGAAGTAATGAAATACAGGATTGTAACCAGCCATGTATGTGTGAGGCTACATCCTGAAGTAATGGAGTACAGGATTGTAACCTGTCATGAGATGTACATATATCCTTTAAATTCTGAAAAAAAAGATTAATGCTGTTTCACTAATCGCAATGGATTGGACATTCAAAGTGGCGTAGCAAATGTTTTTTAGGAGTGTATGCTTTCAAAAGAACGTCCAGGGGTGAAGCCCCGGTGGGAGGGTCTGGGGGCGAAGCCCTCCTGAAGCTGACGTGTATTAGCTGATTAGAAATACCTTTTCTATTTACACCAACACATTTTATTCAACATAAATGACAAAATGCAGTAATTTATTTGTTAACAATAATCGCTGTTTCCAGCGTATGGTTACGCATACAAGCATTATCGCTACGTCACTGATTTGTCTATTTCCAATACGGCTGAGGATTCATTCCCAATTGGTGCTGATTCATTTGGGATAACGGGGGCGATCAATACAAGATTATCAAACGTGTTTCTTAATTGTAGAACAAAACATTTAATTTCAGTCTTAATTCTACACCATTTTAAAATCTAACCTCTAATTCTCTGGGTCTTAAATTTCGATTTCACTATTGATTCAAAACAATACAATACAATCATCGATCGTCCACCGTGCTTGGTTAGCCCGTTATAAACAGCCAGATTCTGACCTTTCTCGCTTTAAGCTGTAAACCGTTTTAAAACAGTTGGTTTTAAGTGTTTAGTCAAAACTTAAGCACGAACTTCAAGTTGTGGTGACGATTCTTACACTCTGTCATGTCGACACGTGTCACAAAGATGGATGGCGACCCCACCTCGCATCGTCTTGGCAACAAATTAGACCAGGCTTAATCGAGTGTTAATTAAGCTCGAGATACACCCACGAAATACCATTGTCTAACCTTTAGAATGCAGTTGTATAATTCATCATGTAAACAAAGCGTGTCAAGGGAGCATCGTCGGTATCGTCATACGGGTCAAGGTCACCAGTTAAAAATAGATACTAAGAGCCGAAAACCGTAAACACTCGTGGATTTCACAAAGATAAATCACTCTGACGTAAAACCACTTGACAAAGCCACGGACAGCAATTATCATTTTCGAGGTAAAATAATGAATTCCCATTATGAAACGGGACACTATAAATATGTGATCTCTATGGCTACTGATGCAAACCCAACAACAATTCCTGCAGTTCCATCAGAGAAACATGACCTAATCCGCTATTTATCATTGATATGTCTGAAAATATGTCCTTGTTGTGTAAGTGATCACAGACAGTAGCGCATCATACCAGACGACCTGTCATACCTGTTATTTTAGTACGCTGTTACAGACATTGAGTCCACTGACCTACTAATGTGCATGGAGACCTATACGACATATCGATCGGACGATCAGAAGTTGGACACAGTATTCGTTACCAGACTCCGCTACCACGAGTATATAATGTACTGATTAGACAAAAGACATTTACAATAAATAACAGGAAATCCACGCAAATCAGCAGGCACAAACAAGACTGATGTATACATTTAACCGTATTAACGTTTTCAAGCATTTTCTTTCCTCGGGACAAAAATTTTGATTTTGCACTTAAAAGTTAGTAGGAATCCGATTTTCTATTTTAGTACAGTATCTTTGACTCTTAGTTTAAAGAGTACTTATTTTCAAAAGTAATAAGTCTTAGAACCTAAGTATCTGTGCTCACGCGCACTTTTAATTTACAGATTCATTGAATAAAGTTAA